GGGAGGCAGGGAGTAGGGACTTGGCATTCTCCCAACGGTAATTTGTCACGCGGTATGATTCTTTTCCATTTTTACAAATTTTTTTTTCCTCGTGTCTCTGGATAATTTCTTTTCTATTTTCGTTATTATGATGGAAGAAAAAATAAGAAACAACGATTAATATTAATGGTTAAGCTTTTTTGAACTTCCGGTAAAAAAGAAGAAGCTTTTTTTAAGTTTTAACTGCCTTTCTTCCTCTTGACGTTCCTTTCTTAATACATACGTCTTGGCGTGAGCCGCTGTTAAACTGAAAAAGGAAAGCACTGGGCGTGATCAGACAATTCAAGCTTCTGTTCTCTCTCTATTTCTTTCCTCGTCTCCATATTTTTTTTTTTTTTTTTGGGTTTTTCGTTTGATTCATAGTATGAATTATACAGTTAATCGCCGACCAACAGAGGAAACAGCAAAGGAACATCAGGCACGTAATGATGGAATTTGATAGAACTGGATTGAATACATGAATTTCGTAGTAACAACCAAGACTGGCACATTGCCTGGAAAAAGGTCCAGGGAGGCGGCAAAGACCAATTTGGCCCAGAAACAATACTAGGAAATGGTATGACCACCGTTGCATGGCGATTTAGTACCAACTCATGAACAGGATAAAATAAACTTCACAACGTGAGATTGTTATCGGATAAAACTTGACCAAGCATTACGCTGCTCAAGAATTTTAAAAATGTCCCATGAGGTCTTGAAAAAAAGATACCCCCATTTACTTTCTAATAGAAAGGAGCTCAAAGCTCCTGAGAGCTTCGTCACGATTGGCTCTTGAAGATGAATTGCGTGTAAAACTTGGTTGTTTCGTCTCATGCAATGCTTGAGTTCTATATGTGCTAGATGGGCGGTTGGCACCGGATGTCAGCCAGCCGGCACGGCCGTCAGTATGGTCACCAGATGAAGTCTGCCGGTTCGATGAGATCGTGGCTTTTCTTGAAGTGCTTCCATATCGAGAGGAACTGCGTCCCTTCTCTTGATCATACTGCTCAGTAAGAATGTATGACGTATAAATGTAAGTTAAAAATAACATTGATCCTTTGACAAAATGTGTAGCTTTAGCAACCGCTAATTAAAAGAGAGATGTTAAGGCTTTATTAACAATCAAATCATACGGTAAGATGAGCATTCAAACAGGCAACCGCGGATCTCGTTGAGAAAAGATGTCAACAACTACACTGCAAAGTTTTTACCCTCAAGTGACGTAATCACACAGATCTGAATTTCAGTATCATTGACACCCACCAGATATTTATGGGAGAAACATTTGAAGTGATTTTCTAGAGAAAGAATATTTACCACATCCCTGCGTGATGGTACCTCCTCGAGAATCCTATTTTTGGTGCCATCAACATGAGGACTAGGACTTGTGGGATTCCTTCGGGAAAATGCTTCCGCACCACCAGAAAACTTCTCTCGAATCTCTTTCCCAGCTGAAATAAGCAATTGGAAGACCAAGATTATGTAAGGAATTCAGAAGAAGTGAGGTACTTTTACTAATAATGTAGGCCATAAGACTACAGCTACAATTGAAGTTTAAGCCACAGTTTTTGTTGAGATTTGAAGGAAATACATGGCAAGAAATAATTTCAAAGATCCTGAACACTCGTTGTCAGACTTGTTAAGATTTAGTGGTATACCAAGTTCATAAAATTATATGACTGAAAGGGAGTAGACCTGGGATCTTTTCCGGTTTTTGTACAGATGGCCCTGCATTCATAAGTGCCTTGCCATTGCCAAGCTGATACATTGGAAAGACTTCAGTAAGTAGACTTCAATAGAAGCAAAAATCTACAAAAGCAAGGTATAAAAGCACGAACCCGCCCTCTAGAGCTGCCACCAATCTGAGGATACTTCAATATAGTCCAGTCAAAAACATAGTCAAACTGATAGCCTGCAGTAGCAAAGTCAAGGCCATTTAGCATTAAGACCATTAAAAATTTCCAACAAAAAATCCTTGCTAATATTCAGATTAGATATAAGCACACAGAACCTTCTCGAATAAACAAGTCCCGGAAAAGCCTCTTTAAATATGAATAATCTGGCTTGTCCTCAAACCGTAATGATCGGCAGTAGTGGAAGTAGGATACAAACTCAGATGGGTATGATTTGCAGAGAACCTATCCACACAAGCACATACAGTAACAATAAAGCAACATGACCATATAAAAATCTAGATTGAAAAAGTTTGAGACAAGAAATATCCAATAGAATTAGCTTAAATAAAACTGGTCCTGACGCATATGATCCATCTAGTTGTGATTGTATGAAAATTCGCAACTATTGCATAGCAGATTCTAAAGCCTGGCCTGACTGATCAGCCTCAGGTGTCATACATAATATCCCACTAAAGATCACAGCATCCAAAACTCAACTTCATATAACAATGACTAGATCTACAAGGAATATTGATTTCTCAAAAGCATCGCGACGAGTAAATTAGTAGCATACTAATCCTACTAGTCATAATACCTCTATCGGGGTTGATGATTTCTTCTCACTGATCTTATCATACTTTTGTTTTTTGTTGCCGGCCTTCAGACCTTGCCAGGGAAGACTAAAATAACAAAGAAAACCAACAGTAAGAATACCATTAGAATAATATACAGCAACCATGGGGCAAAAAAGACGGGTTTGATGAGTATCCAACCTTCCTCTTAAGAAGTACATGAGCACATAGCCAAGAGATTCCAAATCATCTCTTCTGCTTTGTTCTGCCAGAAAGATAAAATAAATCAGGTAGCTGAAACCAGGTAAGTCTAATTTTGTAACGATTCACATCTAGTTATAGGATGTCAGCATGAAAAGGAAAAAAAATGAAGCACAGGATATTTACCCACCAATTCCAAGATGAGTGTTGACACTTGCGTAGCGAGCTGTGCCAGTAAGGTTCTTGTTTTCTCTACAAATGGAAGACACCTTAATTTACATAACGCAATTTTGTAGGGAATAAGGAAAATGCTAGCAAGAAATAGAAAACTGCAAAATGCACACAGAATTTTAGAACATGGTCTTTGTCCATAACTCAAGTTTAGAATTAATCTCTCCACCTGACTACATAATAAGAACCATATCTTCAGCAAAACGCATATACTTGGAGATTTCCATGATTAAAATGGCAATCTATGCCTTTTTTTCTTTTTGGAAAAAAATAAAACCAATAAGATGGCAATACAACATTAGGTGTGCTAATTTATTGTTGCTTCCTGGACGAGAACAACATTCCTACGGAGTTTATTCTAATGAAATATATGCATGCACACAAAACTGTGCACCTGCATGACCTGAAAACAGCATGACAAAATTTACCTGTATGGTATGTGCTTATGAGTCTGAAGATCCCTGAACTTCTTTCCAAGACCATAATCAATGATGTAAACCTGCCATGACAAGTGCGTTATCGAAATAATTAAGAAGATCTAAAATTTCTACATTCACCTAAGATTTTCTTATCAGAATCTACTCATCATGTTTTTACTTTAATTATTTAATTGACAAAAAGAATGCAATTATTATTATTATTTTAAAAAAATTGAAGAGAAGAAAGCAAGGCACTGGAGAGCAAGAAATCCTCTGGTTAAATTATCCACAACACAAAAATTAAAGCCAGCAAAACACAAAAACCATCCCAATCCGTTTACATATCTGATAGAGTAACTCCCCTGTAGAAATAATTCTTCATCCACAATAAGCCGAAAAGTGAGTCTCAGCATGGGTTATTGACGTTGACTTTAGTATTGCATTGTATGCCAACTGCCAAGACCAATGGACTTGGACAAACGGATTTTTGGGAGTTAGTGAACCAAAACACAATGTTTCATTAATTTCTTGAGTTGCAAACAAATGGTTATGGACTCTACACACATTTTTAGTGAACCTGCCTGTTACTGAATCTAAATCCATATTCACAATAGGCCGCCCAAAGGATTCTTTTAGAAAGACACCAACTCATTATTGTTGCTCTAAGACAGAAGATATTATCTTTCCAAACCGAATGAACATCTGCGAGGATTTCTATGATATGAATTTTACAAACACCAAAATTTAGACTTCATAATACAGGACAAATTTGCTCATTGACAATATTCTCTTCATTGTTTCGATTCATAGACAATGTTACATATAGGATGCCCTACGATCTCCCAAAGTCAAGTCACCAGACTCAGCGAAAACACCCCAAAAAAAGAGTAAAATGACGGTGCAATGTACTACATACTAAACTCTGGATAGAAATGCATAACAATCAGCAAATTGCATCTGCAATCTCCTTAAGGTGATAAACCAAAGAAAACCCCTAAAAGAAGAACAGCAGAGCCGGGTAAACTGGACATGCCATCAGGGAGCATGACTTCTTTACCTGGTTTGCTTTGCGCCCTAGACCCATTAAAAAATTATCAGGCTTTATGTCACGGTGAAGAAATCCTCTTGAATGCATATATTCAACTCTGTTAATCTGAAAATAACAAAAATAAAAATATGAATATTTAGCACCTCTGTCTAAGACGCCTTATTCAAAATAGTTTCCAAGAAGACTTACTAATTGATCAGCAAGCATTAACACTGTCTTTAAGCTGAACTTCCGGTTGCAATAGTTGAACAGATCTTCTAAGCTTGGGCCAAGAAGGTCAATAACCATAACATTGTAGTCTCCCTCAACTCCAAACCACTTGAGGTGAGGAATCCCCGCTTCATTAAAGAACAGCCAAATTCAATTCAATCACTTAAAAGAAATTTTGTCTCTTTTATTATTTTTTCCCCCAACTTCTTTTGTTTTGTTCTGAAGGCATGACTTACATAATGAAGTATAGTTCTGGGCCAAGGGGCCCAAATCCAAATACAAAGAAAGGATCATATGTTTCATTTGTATCTTCAAAATTGCCAAATGAAACTTCGCATTAGCAAACACTTTAAGAATCCTACTTCAAAAAAAAAAAAAAAAAGCGAAAACATAAAAGGCGGCACGGACTTACTTCCTCCTTGAAGAAGCATGTATAATTTTGATTCATAATGAAGCTGTGGATGCCTGCTCTTCACAGGTTCCTGAAATTTTTTTTTTTTTTTGGGAGAGGAGGGAGCAGAAGAAATAGGTTATAAATTAGGAAAGTAGAATGTCATGAGCATACTGGAATCACTAATCACTAACTGGTGTATAAATGTCTCTTGAAAGTAACAAAAACAAGGATAACATAATTGCCCCACAACAAAAGGGATATCACATAGAAAGTGCCAATATCTATTACATATAAAGATAGGGCATCAATTATCCTAAGCACTCATTAAGTGACGACATTTTATATTGAGATTATAGATGAATACGAATTCAACAAGGTAAAAAGAAGTGATTTGATCGTGATTTATTCTAAGCAATCATTTTACGTAGCAACACTGTATAAAGATAGGGGATCAATTATCCTAAGCACTCATTAAGTGACGACATTTTATATTGAGATTATAGATGAATACGAATTCAACAAGGTAAAAAGAAGTGATTTGATCGTGATTTATTCTAAGCAATCATTTTACGTAGCAACACTGTATATTCAATTTTTAACCGTTTTAGCCCTATCAGGCACAGAATAGGGGTGCAAGCTTCAATAAAAGATAACATACCAGCTTAACAGCCACCTCCTCTCCAGTTTGGACGTTAACACCTAACATGAGAAATAAGAGAAGGAATACGTGATTATAGAAACATAACTTCACAAGAGATGCTGCCAGGGAAAACACTGCGCTTACCTAAATACAGCTCTCCAAAAGATCCACTCCCAATTTTCCTTCCTAGTTTAAACTTGCCAGCAATCACATGATCCATTATGAACAAAGACCTTCAGGCTTCAGTACGCCGCCAGGCAGCAACTGTAATCAGTTGTTCTGCTCAGATGTCATAAAGACCCACAAAAAAAAAAAAAAAAAAACACCGTCTTCCTCCCCGGACTCACCAGTTAAAAGGGCCCGACAAATCAAGTTATTCGCTTTCTTCGATAATCAACCCGAATCTAATAAAATTTCCCAATCTGGTGATCCAATTGATCGTAAAATTGTGTATGACGTAAATCCAAAGAGGAGAAAACCAAAGCGGGCCAAATTTATAGCGTCCCCAGGAATGAGGATGAAATATTTATTCAGAAGGCCAAACCAAATTCTCCAGCGACATCCATTGAGCGCAAATAAGTCAATTAACCCGGACCTCAGATAGAAGCCCTAATTTCCAGAAGACAGGAACGAGTTGACCAGATAAAATACGATGCAAACATTACCAGGAACAATTGAAAAAACCTTCACAACAGAAAATAAAAATAGTAAAAGCAGAGGAGATCGAGGAGTATGCGCTGGATGAGATATGAAGAGACAAAAGTTGTTCTACAAAACAGAAGCTGGATAATGGACGGCGGAGACTGGTGCAAATGAGAGAGAAAGATGACCAGGGAAAAATCTGTACAACGTGAAATTTATATAGTAATCGCTCTTTCCCTTTTTTTCCCTCTTTCCATCCAATAATAATAAAATTCGTAAGACCCAAAAAAATTAATAAAATTCTTTTCCCCCCCTCCATCCTTTGCGCTGATATTAATTAACAACTTAAAATTACCAAAAGTAAAACTCACAGATTTTAGTTTTGCTCAAGTAGAAGACAGAAGATGAGTTTAGTTAGCACTTGAGCCTCCCTGGGAGCCTACCAATATCAAAGCGATTCTCTTTAATCTTTATCTCTTTGCCTTTTATTCTCTTTTCTGGTTTCTCCTTTTGCTTTTGTTTCTTTCTTCTTTTTATTTCCCCCCCCCCCTCCTCTCTTCCCTTCCTTTTTTCCCCACTCTGCTCAAGTCAATTTTGTTTGCTCTCCTAGTCTTGTATTTTCGTTTCCTTATCAACTGCTTTCTTTGTATTTTATAATCAAGAAGTGCTCGATTCACGTTCCTGTCTCTTTCGATCCTCGGTCTGCTTATTCATGCATTATTTAACATTGTAGAATTTGACAATTTGGAATGCTCCATATTTTTGTTTCAATCATCTACTGTACGATATTATTGACTGATCTTAAATTTAAATTCTACCATGTTCGATCCACAATGTTATGCTCCATCTCGCTTTTTTTTCCCCCCCTACTGCATTTTCCATCACTTTCATCTCTACTGCAGATCGGCACCATCAAAGCTGTAGTGAAAGGTCCAGATTTAATATTTTATGAAAGTACAATTAAAATGTAAAAAAATTGTCAAATTTGATACTCATACATTCATCAAGGATATCAAATCATTTATTTTCCACCAAGTTGATGATAACATACGCCGATTCTAATATCAAATCGAAGTAACGCATACGCAGAAGACCTTAAAAACAGTAAAAAATTATACACAAACCTCCCAAATTTTATCCGATATGATGTTACTTTTTGATAGATAAACTTTGATGTGATGAAAATAAATTGGGACAAGAACTTACGGTTATTATTCACTTCTTCAATGAGTTTTCAACTGACCAGACTAAGACTTTATATATTAATATTTATACAATTTTAAAGTTGGCTATTTATAATTTAGAATTATAAAATATATGGGGAAAAAAAGGGTCTCGTGAGCAGTTTAGCTCAATGATGTTCCACTGCGCTCCATACCCCACGTGCTAATATAATTGGGTTAGTATTCTGAAGCGGTTTCTTTTGTATTCAGCTGAAAGCATTGTTGTAATATTCGAGTGATGAATGTAATTATAATTATAATCATATTTATAATTAATAACTATTATGAAAAAGGGGAAATGTGCACCCAACCCAAAAAAGGGAATAAAAAGGAGAGAGCGTGGGAGCGTGGAACACGCTATCAATCAAATATTTGTCCCAGCAAACCATTCATTAATATTTAATACGGCACTTCAGGTTATTAGGAGAACATAATAATGAAGCCTATGATGAAATAGACCCTAACATTTGAAATACTCATCAAAAAAAAAAAAAAATTTGAACAAATCAATTAAAATCAGACCTAATTTGCATGAATTTTTAATATTATTATTATTTTCAATTTCATTTCATATATCCTTTTTGTGAACCAGGGGGAAAAAAAAAGAGCTTGTCATTTTAATGTTACAAGACGAAGTTGTGTTGAAAAAAAAAAAAAGGATAAATGTAACGTGTTATTGTGGTTTGTGATTATTTAGTAATATAATTTAGATATCAATTATACAAAAGATAATTGTATTGGATTATATTATGCCTAATTAATAATTTATGAAACAGCCTACGAAATAGCAAAAGTGCACATGTTAAGAGCAAAATTCAGAAGCTTTTGACAAAAATTCCAAAGGTGGCCAAGCGATGCGATCGAAAGTCTTTGCAATGATACAATTCAATAAATAGATGCTAATGCTATGGGATAATGATGACCTGGACATTTGACAATCTCAAGCAAACCTTTTAATAAAGTTAAGACTTTGTCGTGAATCAGTTGAATAAGATCATCTTCTCCTCGTTTGCGAATCTTGAATTGGTCTATCTACGGCAATGCTTTGAAGCATCAAATTTTCAGATTGAGTCGTCACGAAGGATTAAAATTTAAACCTTAAAGACTATACATATTCCGCCGTATTCTCATTACGCAAACTAGCCTTGATGGCTTCAAGACGTTATACTCTTTTCACCAATAAAACAGAGACACGATACTAAAAGAATGCTTACATTTTGGATTAGGTTTACTTAATCAACCTCAAATCAATGCCCATTAATGAACAATGATGAGCAAAGCAAAATTTAAAAACCATTAAACTTGTTATTAAAAAGACAACACAGCTAGTATTTGATAACATGCATACAAAACCACAGTTAGAAAGGGGAGAGTCTCAAAATTTTCAAATGGCATGAGAATCAAAGTCTCATCCCATGTGCATGAGGTGTAATACCAGACGAATAGATCAGAAAGAAACTCGGATAGTAATCTCCTACTGGGTTTTCTTGGATTGAAGTTCGTCCTAACATGATCCCATGATAATTAGACGATACATAACGAGGGCTTTGGGTTTCAATCTAAGAAAATCTGAAAACAACGAATATTACTATTTTCATGCCGACTCGGCAAAGCAATACTCTTGTTTAGATTTGATCAACAAGTCGTACTCATCCCAAACCCTTGGATATTACACGCTGCAGGACAGAAGGTGATACAAATAATTGGCTATCACTAACATACAAATTTACAGAGTATTGTTTACAGTGTGTTTCGTACCGACATGATGCAGTAAGAGGTTTACACCTCCATAGTTGAGGTCAGTGGCTCTTAAGTAACAAGAGAGCTCGAGGCTTATCAGTTGGTACAAGAGCTAGGGCACGTAACTTCCTTCATGCCTTTGCTCAAGCTTGTAATCAAGTACCAAGTAACCATTGATGTAGCCAAAAAATAATATTGAACATTGAAAAGGTTAACGCTGTTGGCATGAGTTATGGCTCCGATGCTGTCATACTGGACATATAACAAGTTTTGCCTTGTTAGGAGGTATCTTTGTCTTTATGAGATGCCTCTAAACGGGGTGGCAAGAGGCTTAGAAAGCTCCCTTGAGCAGGTTGATTGCCTGCAGGCGCATCTGATGTTTCTGGCTCGCCCTCTGTTTCAACCCCATTTTGATCAGATGAGAAGACTTACACGTAACGAACAGAAAAGTATACAGGAGCGAGCAACCAGAGAAACCCCTTGTTTTAAAAAAAAAAAAAAAAAAGGAACTTCAAAGAGTTTTGAAAGCCTACCAAAAAGTGACTTGATAGATGGCCTCTTTGACTTGGAGGATTTCTTCTTCAATTCAGCTGCAATGCAAGAGGGAAAAATTATACCTGAACTATTTCGTGCATGTATGTGTTTGATGATACTCAATATCCACTATTGCATTAAAGGAAAATAATGTATCATAAAAGCATTTTCACATACAAGATATGGACTATAATTTCCATTCTGAATCTAGAACGATACAAAAACACACATTAGGTAGTTAAATCTATGAACTACGGTTAAGTTCACTATAGCATTTGTTCTTTAACATTAATCCTTATTTCAGTATCTGGGAAAATAATATAACTGTTCCTCTAAAGATCAAAGGTATAACTGTTCTAATATAGAGCCTTGCATCAGACATTATAAATTAATTTGCGGAGGTATTAAAAAAAGAAAAACTGGCATACCCATCCCAGGAACTTGATAGTCATTGACAATTTCAAAATTCTTGTATGTGTACCCAACAAAATTTAAGTCCTTAGACGAGAGCATCTGCAAAATCACCAATTAAACAAGATGAATGAGAGAAAAATGCATAGCCCTGGGAGATCTGCCGTAACAGATCACGAACTAGAAGATCAAACAAGAGAGAAAACCAAGAACCATATAACATGATATATTATTTAAATGAAAAGTTCACTGGCATCAGCTAATGAGAATATAACCAATAACTGCACTGGAGAAAGGCAGGTCCATTTTCAGTTTCACTGCTAATAATAGCAACTCAAACAAACTAAGTTTTTCGTTAGGAAAGGGACTTCCTAAGCACTAAGAAATGTCTCTCGAGCAGTTCCAAACAACCTTGAGGCAGCATCGACATACTTCACCATCTACATTTCATCGAGCCCAACAAATACAAAATCCTAGAAGAGCCAAACTTAAATTACTTAGGAGTTCAGGGAAAAGTGTTGTAAATTGTAAATCAAAATTTATGCAATTAGAGGGGCAACAATTAAGACATAATTCTTATATGGTCCTGAAGAAAAGTTTGCTTGCCTCAGCATTAGCCAAATGATTTCAACAGCCAGACTTTGTCTAAAATTGAAAAATAAATAACAAGTTTGCTAGCCCGTAATTTGTCTCAACAGCCAAATCACAGCAATGTAAAATCAAACGGAAGTTAATTTTCAGAACATCCAAGATGTATTGTAATTTCTATATGGAAGTAATTCAAATAGTGATGTTCAGTTTCTTTTCGTATCTCGTACTGATTGAAAAGAAACACTACGCTGCTTCATTACCGTATCAGTCAACAGAAGATTATGCAAATAATAACTGTACGGATAACTTGCAGATAAATTGCCAACAGAGAAGCATGCTCCTAAGATTACCTTTCTCCAAGGCCCAGATCTTGATGCTTGGTGATTCTGGATGTCTGACTGCAAATGCAAAGGGAAAACGAGGAATAATGGGAAAAGGCAAAAGGCATGGGATAAGCATTTATTCCAAGCAATAATCTTAAAGGCTAAAATACCTCTTCAAACTTCTCAAAATTTTGAGTATCCAATTCATCATTGACCTCAGGAATAAATGCAGCTTCCATTTGATATAGCTTATCCCATTCCACACCTCCGAAGAATGGATGAGCCTGAAATGGAATACAACTGCAAGGTAACCTCTACATCCAAACATATAATGGAACAAATACAGGATTTTAGAATAGAG